CTTTTGCCCTCTTTTTGGATGTGACTCTTCCAGATTTTTTTTTTTTTTTTTTTTTACAAAACCTTGTAATTTTACAAACCTGCCTGCCCTGTTTGTTTTTTAAACTCCCTGACATTCAGCTTGTAATGGAGTTTTGGAGAAGTGAGAAGAGTAGCAGAGACAAGTCAGCCAAAGGGAAAAGACACATACATTAAAACAAAAACTACAAGTTCTTTAAGTTAGACAAAATGAAGATTGCACTGTTGGACCTGAGCAGCAGAATAGATTCTCCTGATTTCTTACCAAAATGCTCTTCCCTTTTAGTCCTATTTTCAATATGTGATAGTATATTTAATATTCCAAAGTTCATGTCAGTCTTTCTCAACCTGGGATCCCTCAGGGGTATTGGAACTGAAACTCTCCCATTCCCTGCCAGTGGCATTGCCAGGGTTCCAGGGTCCTGGGCAATATGCCCTCCCTTACTCCTACTGGGCATTGCCCTATTCCCACTTCCCAATTCCCCCACCAGGCTCTTTCTTACCTTGTGCTTCTCTCTGTCTCCCCTTCTCTCCCTCCAGGAATAGAGGGGACATCTTTAAACTATTATTTTAAAGAAAGGCAGCATGGGACTGAATTTGGAGCCCTTAATTTTCAAAGGTCTGGTTAGATGCCCCAAAACTATTGGTTGCTTACTCACGACTTGTGACTCGGAGTTGCAGCCTTCACACCTCTGTAGGTAGACCAGCTGATGTGATATATAATGAACAGTCTAATGGCATTTTCGCTGATGTAATGTTATTATCACATCCCCAGATGGTTCTCATTACTGCTTTCCAGAGGTTCTCCCCCGCCAAGATTGCCATGCTGAGGTCTGGACGGCAGGGTAGATTCCCCATCAGTTTGCCTAGAATGGAAAATATAATACTCTAAGTTTGGATGACACGACTGAACCTCTGGTCTTGTTCATCTGCTTTCTAAGGAAACTGAAAAGACCACCATTTATGATGTGTTTTTATGGGCCACCGAATGTTTTACAGGGAGCAGCATAAGTTGAAAAGAGATACACTCTTTCCCCGTGGCCATTAACGCCTGGCAGCAGCTATTCCATCAAGTCGCAATAAGGAAGAAAAAAGTTAGTTCTGAAAAGTCACCTCCATCAGCATTCCCCTCTCATCAGCTGCCCTCTGGCATCGGACTGCAAAAGAGGGAGAAAAGGGGAATGTGACCGTTCCATGTTCTTTTCTTAGAACAGCAACATTTAGGCATTCTTCTTCTGAATGAACTTTTTCAACTGAGCATTATAAGAACTTTTTAATTAAGATCTGGTTTCTGGGTTGCCTCTTCTGTTTTGTAACTCTTTCCTTTGATGCTGTCTTTTAAATTATAATCCTGAGGGTAGAAACTGTTTAAATTGCTCTGGAAACCTTTCTGACTTAGGAGCAGGAGTGGCAAGTGGCAGGCTTATCACTACTCTGGTATTCTTATTGGCTGGCTTCATTCGTTCGTTTCTCAGACTCGTAAGCCACTTCATTTGCAACCAGCTCTAAACAGCAGACACTCCATATCACTCCAAAGGTTAAAACAATCCTATTAAAGGTAACATCTGACTGGCTGAGCTTCCTGAGAAATCATTTCTTTTAAAAGGTGCACCGCTGCAGGCTTGACCGGCTCATGAGTGGTCACTGCCAGTTTCTGGCTGACCTCCAGAGTCTTCCTGGGCCGTGGGGCCCTAAATCAATGCTTCTGATCCAATCCTAGCAGCACCAGTGGCCTCACAATCTCCATCACTCCTGAAAGTTTAGGTGGAACTCTTTGGCCCTCCATAACATAAGACCATTTCAGGACTGTATGTTTTGAACTGCCCAACCTTTGAACGGGAATGTGGCAACATTGCATGGAACCGAACCTGGGGCTGTTGGCAGAAGAAGGACGCTGCAAGGTGGGGAGGAGATCACATCTCCGTGGCAGTAACTGGCAGATGCTCCAGTTCCTATCAAGAGATGCTTACAGCTAGGAAGAAGGCTATGTGGCAGTTCTTAGACAACACAACAAGGCAAAGCTGAGGTTTCAGCACATTAGAGCATGAGATCTGCCATCAACTCCAAAGAGTTCTGTCAGCAGAACCGGTCTCAGCTGTCTCTGAAAAGGGCAGCTGCCAGGCTCACGGATCTTGGGAGCTTTGCATCATTCCTCAGCAACAGCTGCTTTGATATAAAGAGGAAGCCCCCACCACTTCCTGGCAAGCAGGAGGCTGGGCTTCACGCAGGATCCAAGTTTCAGCTTCCCAGTATGTTTCGAAGGCTGAATGAGATACATTCAAGCAGCAGTAATTTGAGGAAGAGAACCTGGCTGTTTCCCCCTTCTCTTTGCATCACCACATTCACATTTTTAGGCACTGCTTTTTTCTCTCTCTCTGTAGTGTTGAACGCCTTCTTATTTTGCACATGTAGAAGCACAGAGGCTTGTCCAATACTGAACAATGAGGAAGCTTTAATTTATGCACGAATGTCCATTTTAAGGCTTGCATGTATGAATCAACGGCACCGACCTTTCTAACTTCTTGTATCTTGCCTCATCTTACCCATAAAGCTTTTAAATTAAAAAACATTTGCATATCCGGCTGTCATTATGTGAACAGAAACGAAGAACAGAGGAGATTGGCGTGTGTGCATGTCTGAGCTAGCTATTAGCATTAAAACTATTTGGATTTTCCAAAGCATGACTGCTGGTGATGTCAGACCTCCTATATCTGCAGTCTTATTCCTCCTTCTCCATTAGAGAGAGAGAGAGAGTAGCTGGCTCACAGCATTTGTGCTTCTGCACTGAAGCACTCATAAAGAACAATGCAGACAAACCTTAATGAAGCTGTTGAACTGTTTGTAGTAAAGCATCAAAGCCACAGAAGAAGAACATGGCTTTTGCTTTTTATTGTATGACTGCCAGGTTGGTAACTTTAGAAATGAGTTACTTTCTAGACAAATAATGTTCATAGTTAGATCAACCCATGCCTTTGCTTCGTGCATGCAATGATATCTCTGTATATATAAGAATTATCCAAATTTTGCTTCTGGATTCAGCATCTATTATTTGGTTTATATGAAGAACACACAGGGATTCATACTTCAACCCCATCTATGCAATAGGAACAATGCTGCTCAGCCTTTTCTGTATCTCCAGTGGACAGCCACTATCTTCCAGGAATAAAAATGAAGTTGAACAGAATAGAATGCTACAACTTTCATTTTTTCTTTCTTTCTTTCTTTTAAGCTTTCATTCTCCCATGCAAGCTGTTCAAAAACTTGGTTGCATATTTAATCAGCTAAGTCTTTATGGGGTACATGTGAATTTAGGAGAATTCAGTGGGGAGAATTGTCAACATATGCAGTGACCTCTTTGTACTTTCATTCAAGTAGCAAATTGCTAAATTTCTGTGGAATACTACTGGAAAGTAGAACCAGATCCATTGTTGTTCCCTCCAGCTTCCCAGTGCATTTGATCTAACTAAAGCTTCTTTGCTTGTCCTTCAACGCCCCCCTCAAAAGATTCCTCCTGAAACAACAAAATATTTGTTTTGTACCATGTATTCTCAATCAAGAATAATTAGGGATTTAGGAATTGGTTTCACAAGTCTGTCATTCATTCATTTTTTTCCTTACAGTTCCTCCTTGGTAAAGAAGAAAACAAGCACTGTGTTTATAAGCTGAATGAGCAAATATTGAAAGAAACTTGTTTATCAACATAAAAGAGACAAGCATTCCTCAAGCATTGTGAATGGAAGGAAAGGGATCCTGTGCAGGACTGGTAGCATGAACACCTGACATTTAACTGCAAAGACGTTTAACAAATTAGTACAGGTGACAAATGCACTTACTGGCCCCATGTAGAGATGCCAGCGTCTAATACCCACTTGAGAGATGCTACTTTCCAAACCAGGACTAAACTAGATCCTTTCTCATACAGGTGAAATGCAGCAGGCAGAAGATACTTGTTTACTGACAGAGGAATAGCAGCAGAAGGCAAAGTGGTTTTTTTAGGATATTACACCCGGCCTATCCTATCCAAAAGTCTCCTACGGCTGAACCAGTCACAGAATGGCTGTTGCACATACCTGTTCTTCTGTGTGGTTTTGTAGTTTGCTCTTTTCTTTTGACAAGAATCCTTATCATGGGTAGGCAACTTAATGTTCTCTGCATATTTTAGATATCAGCTCCCACACTCCTTGATCATTGTTTATGGTTGCTGGTTGATATTAAGCCACTAAAAGTAGGCTCTAAAGAATTTTCTTGGCCGACTAAGCCACTAACCTCAAAAATGGAGCTTATTTACAACGCAAAACAACAGTGGTTCGTCATTACTGAGTGGTAGCTCTGATTGAGTTCTCAGATTCTCTTAAAGATGTGAAATGTCACCCTCAATCTTGGTCTTCCTGGTAACACCTAAACAGGAGTCCAGAATTGCTAGATCCTCTTCTCTGCAAGAAAGCCTGTGCATACTTGAAAATCCATGATTTTATTTCACCAATTCAAATATTAGTAGTTAAAACAGCATAACTGAGATTAGCTTTACTTGGAATTTTCTTTGCATAACTATTGTTTCTCCATTTTCTGTCAACATTCCCATCCAATAAATGTTTATATAAGTATGTACATATTTGATTTCTATCCCATTTTACCTCCAGGAGCTCAAGGTAGGTTACATTTTATAATTTTATCCCCACAGCAACTCTGTGAAGTAGGCTGGGCTGTATCTCTTCAGTGATTTGCTTTGCGTTAAAATATCATTTCTCATTAAACCTTTCCATACGTGCAAGTCTTGCTTTGAGTTTTTAAACTTTATTTCTACAACTCCTGGGCTTTGGGCAAGTCAATTCAAAGTGTATTGCTTTTTCTTTTTTCCTAATGCTATGCTGAAGGGAGCAGCTTGGCAGAATAGCTCAGAACTCCCCAAGGCCTGGCTAGTTCGATGTTCACTTTGCGTTGTGTTATTCAACTCTATGGTGCCTGTGATACTGGAGTTAATCTATAGCCACTTTAACCAACTGAAGTTGGACTCCAAGGAATACTGTGACTCCGGCTGCCATACCAACCTTCTCGCTGAGCTTCCTGGTGGTTTCCCTGCCTTGGCTATTCAAAGCCGCCACTAAGTCGGTGGTGGAGTTTCCTAGGCTGATGGTTTCCTTCTCTTGGTGAGGGGTCAGAAGTGGCTTGAAAGGTCGCCATGACAACCATGAACCAGACCCAGATCACTGAGGGCCCAACGCACAGGGGTGCTTGCGCATTAGATCTGTTTTTTGTCTCTGGGCAGTTGTGACACGATCTGAGGATGAGTGACATTAACATCTGCCCTTATTGTGATCAGATCACTCTCTAATTGCTCCGGAGCTTTGCAGAGCAGCTTCCCCTGCCAGAGTGGATGAGCCAATTTTACCGGTCTCCCTAGGCTTAGATTCCAGAGGGGGCTTGATTGGCAGTTGGCCATGTCTTGTTGTGTACTCTGTTCTTGACCATGGGAATGACCACGGTGGGAATGATTTTGGATTTGCCTCTATGCTCCCATCAATCAGGTAACGGAAGCTAACATTACTGCTGTAGAGCTAATCATCATATTGTTTATATCCCTTATTCTAGGAACTGGATTAGTTTTAGCCTTTGTTGTATCATATACTATATATGTATTATTTGACTATGATTGACAGCTTCCCATCAATTCTAGAATAAACTGATCCCAAATTCCCCTTCACACTAGGAAGCCAGCATGTATGAAACGACTGAGATTAATCGTTGTCTCCTTCCTTCTCACTAACCACTGCTAAACCTATTCAAAGGTTCACTATAGGTCACAGAAGTTTGCAAATGAGCCAGAACTATACATTGCTTACGTCCAGTTTAAGATAAAAAGGAACCC